GACAGGTGTATTATTGTTGACAGTTCACGATATTCTGTTCTGGGGTCAGAATCACGATTCTGCACGTATATTCTGAGAATTCGTCGGTTGCCTTCCATTGCAGTTACCAGGATATTCTGTTAGACAGCGAGACCCAGCGTGGTCACCATAGTGAATTCATACAACGGTTGTGGTTGTCCTAACTATGATATTCATGATAATAATATAAATTCTATATGCGTATACTTGTTGCAAGTTGCATTCAATATACATAAAAGAGATTCACTCCTCTTCACTTATTTATTTATTTAATCATTTAAGAAGAAAGATGAATTATTGATTTCAGAATAGTGTTTCCAAATTCTTCTTGTAATGTTTCATATTTGTAATGACTATTGTCAAATAATATGCAAGTATCTTTATTATTTATTTATTTAAATAAATATATTTTATTTTTATAAACTGAATAAAATTTAAGAAATGAAAAAAAGTTTAAAAAAATATTGAGTCTATTTCAATAATAATAATAATAATAATTTTTAATATATAACATACTATCAATTTTTAATATTTTCAGTAATTATCACGATTGATATTTTTATATAAATAAGTATTAACTATTTATATATAAATAATTACAAAATACAATAATAATGATTTTCTTAAAATTTGACATAAGTTGAGATTCAAAATTTTCTTTTACATATTTTGTAATACCAAAATAATTTTTGGAATGTATGAAATTTATATTTATATAAATTTATACATTTATATTCATTCGATAAAGTCTAAAAGTCAGAACCAAAAAAAAAAAAAAAAAAAAAAGAATGAAAAGAAACCGGATTAAACGATGACATAAGTGGATCAGACGATGGAGAAACTCTTTGACCAACTCTAATGTCCTTTCCTCTTTACCCATCTTAACGGAAACCGCAGTCTCGCCACGGCTTATATCGTGATTCCTTCTATCATCCACGTGTAATTTAATTTCCATCGTAACGCATACTCATAGTCTCTCGAATTCTTCTCCAAGTCGTGGAATTTGTGGCCTAGTGTAGAGTGATCCACCGATAGAGGATGGCCAGTGGTTTCCGGACTGAGAGTCCAAAACGAGGCACTAGCCGTGTACGAGTGCTTTATCGAGGGTTCTCGAGGAAATTTCATTCCAAGTACTATCAGGGCTACGTGATACTTTGTACCAAGGTCAAAGTGAGAGGAATGTCTTTGAGTGGTTGTCTACGAGGTGTGTGAATGATCTTTGTGTGATGTACTTGCTGTTGTACTTCAATCGCCAGATAAAAGGAATAGGAGAAATTTTAAAGAATGAAGTTTCGTAATTACTTCTTGACTTTAAACTGACTTTTTCGTCGAAATTTAATAATTAAATCATTTATATTTGTCAGCATTTATATATTAATTAATTAGGTTAAAATTTTATATCGTAAAAATGAAATTTGAAATTTGTATAATTATTATATAAATATATTTTAATTTATTTTTTCAAAAAAAAATATTATTCGCAATTTTAAATTATATTTTTTCAAAAAAAAACAATATAATAAAACATATTTCATATGTTTCTATTGTTAATACACTATTATTACATTTAAAACTCCATTTATATGTCGGAGAATGATTGTATAACAAAAGTCCACTTAATTACCATCAGCTATGATTTTTCATTCAGATAATAGGAGTTCATATTTATATGAGAAATTTTCACGAAACATTTTCTTTAAAATGCATAATAATGTATCAAATATTATAAATTTTGTAACGATATTGCAAATATAATAATTTAATTTTTTATTTCTGTTATATCAAAAATTTTTCTTTAAAAATTTTAATCCCAAAAAGATTAACATATTTATTTTCACAATAAAATCAATAATATATTTATAACAAATATATAAAAAATAATTTAAATAAAATAAAAAAATTAAAAAGATAAATTTTAAAAGATAATCTTTTAAAATTGTTTATAAAAAGTTTTTTATCAAAAGAAATTTAACATTCTTCTTAATATTCATTTAAAATATACATTTGACTGAAAATAATTATTTCTTTTTAAGATAATCTTTCTTCGAAATATAATTTTAAAATTTTGGTAAAATATATGTAGGTGTATATTGATAAGAATATTCATCGAAGAAGAAATTCACGAATTTTATTCAAATGTCGCGACAACATTTGTAATCTCAGGAGTCTAAAATTGTCGGTATCGAAAAATTTAATAAATCGGTGACACATGGGAAATCTTGAGAATCTTTAATTCTCAGAGGCAAGCTGTTCACTTCGTTGATGCACCCCAATTTCTTTATCAACGAACCGGAAGTAACGGATATTCGAATCTTCCACGTGCTCATGCATAATTCCCATCCTCTTGTTTTCTCCTCTAATCTTTTAACTCATGTTTCACAGACAGAAATGATCTTGTAAATAAAATAATTAATAGCATAATTTGATTTATTATACGCTTTACGAAATATAGATTATTTTTTTTTTTTTTGAGAATATTATCAAGAATTCGATAAAATATTGTTACAAACAATAACAAATAAGTATCTGAAACCAAATGATTTATGATTTACAAATTGAGAAATAGGAAAAAAAAATTATGAAATTTTCGACAGTAGGAAAAATAGAATCGTGCTTCATATATAAGCAATTCAAAATTTTAAATTCGCAAATACATTTATAAATTATAAATTAGACATTATAAATAAAATTATTTCGAAATAAAATAAATCGTCAAGAATATATTTCAAGAAAAAATGAGCATACTCATGATTATTTTCTTTGATGATACAGTAATATTATCTGCAATGTTTTAACTTTTTAATTCCTTTGTCAAAAAATTTCTTATTTTTTTCAATTAAAATGATATTTTTTTTAAAGAATTTATTTATTTATTATTATTTTTTCATTGCAATAAAGTTAAAATTTACATCTTGAAGTAATAAAATGTCTGAATATAATGTGATACAGCATTTATTAATATATTTTCATTTATGCATGATGATTATTATATTTTATGAAAAGAGAAAAAAATTTTTCACAAAAAAAATAAAAAAAAACAGAAAAATATAAATAAAGTGCAATTCTAATTGCAGAAGTAATTGGATTAAAAGTGAATCAAAAAATTACAAGTTACAGTCTGAAAATTACTTGCACAGTAATTTTGTGACATTTGATTAATGAAAGGCATGGAGATGAAAATTAGCGGTTGCTGCGATAAAACATTTAACGTTCTGTATTGAAATGTAGTGTCTATTTGAAATAGAAAATAATAAAAGGGGGAAAAAAAAAATATTTATTTTTAAAATAAAAAATAGAGCGTGATCTTTCAATTCACTAAATTTCTTAACTTTCAAAATGGATTAACATAATATACATAAATACATGTTTATAATTTATAAAATCTTCAAACACATATTTTTTTAATATTTTTATAATAAAATAATTTAATGTAATACAATCTAGATTAGATTATAACTAAATAGATTATATTATAATTAAGAATTATAATTATTGATAGAAATTAAGAAAACGTTTCTTAAATACTTTACTAATATTTTTTACTAATTTTTTACTTTATTTAATACTAATATTTTTGAATATAGGATGATATCTATAGTTAATTTTAATTAATTTTGCATGTAGTTATCTTTATATAAAAATTATTTTATAATTCGCTTAGAGATTGTTGAGAAACACTGCCTTAACAAAAAATATAACAATAAATTATTAAAATGATTTCAATAATCGATAAAGTAATATTTCTAGTTTAGTGAGAAATTTTCAATACGAATTGCAGTCAGGATTTATGTATTCCATTTTACGGCTGCGTAAATATAAGTTAACCGTGAAATAGAATTAAACAGAACGGACAGATCGTGCCTTGCATTCTTCAGTTTTGCAGATAGAATTACAAATAGATATCACTATTGAAAAAAAAATATATATATGTATATATATGTATGCAAACTATATGTCTTTCTAGGCAAAATAGACAATGAAATGCTAGCAGTATAAAAAAAATCTATTTTTTTTTTTAATATACCAATTAAATGTTTAAACCATTATTTTAATAATGATATAAATTTTTAAATAAAAAAAAATATTTTTATATTTTATCTATAAAAAAACAATAAAAGTATTTACTATCTAATATCTATAGTAATCTAAAGCATAAAATAACAATTTTAACATTTAAAAAAATATTTTCAAAAAAGAAACAAAACTATATGTTAAGTGAAATTTATTAAATTCATATTTTATTTGCATTCATTAATGCATAACACTTTTTATAAATTTTTTTTTAAGAATTTATTGTTAATATTATTGAAAACTAATTTTAATTATTTAATTTTAATTAATTTTTTAATTTTAATAAATTTTTAATTAATTTTTATTATATTCTCATATATAATATTATTCATTACATATAATATGCAATTTTGATTAAAAAAATTAAATTATTTAATTAATTCTTTCTCTTTTCTAATTCATTTATTTATTACATTGATCCAAATTGATTGATTAAATATGGTTACATTTTAACACTTAATATACTAATCATAGAAAAAAGAAATAAAAAAGAATATATTATTTTTAAGGTTTTAATTAGAATAAAAAAACAATATATATTTTTTTAAGACTAAATCCTTTGATCTAACATTTAAAATAATTAAAAACCAATATATTTACCTATATTGATTTCAAATAATAATATATATTTTTTCAACATCAAATTCTTTGATTCAATGTTTGAAATAATCTAAAAACAATTTATTTGTTATATTTTGTTTATGACAGATATCATTTTATCTTTATTATTTGCTAAATATTCTCATTGAAAATACAAAATAAGTACATAGCAAGGTAACAAAGTCTAAATTGCGAACAAAGGATGAAATTGTAGTTAGTTGAAGAATATATACAGGAAATCTGAATCGACAGTAGTAAATAGCTGCTTCGGTGAAGTGGGATTATGGTTTTGTACACAGATACACACTTACTCTTTGTGGTACTCCTATTCTTACACGACCATGCCTCGGGGAACCTTGAGTTTGCGCTTGCTTCTCCTTCCTGTGCGTCTTTAGTCCTCGAAGCAGTCGCGAAAATGTTGTTTTCTTCTTACTTGTGGTTTGTCCTTGTTCTGAAATGACACGAAACAGTACAATGTAAATACCGTGAAATTTATGTTTATTACGAGTGAAACGTAATATTTTGTTCGTTTATTTCTTGATTTATTAATGTGTTTGTAAATCGCTAATAGTAATTGTCGTAAATAATCTATTTAACAAATTTTATTCAACAAAGATTTATAATTTGATTATTTTTTAAATTTTTCTGCATTAAGATTTACGAAGAATTTATTATCAATAATTTCTCTGCATTTATTTCTTTCTGATAAATTTTTAAAAAATGAATAGAGTATTAAATGAAATATAAATGTTACATTTATTGGATACTATAAACTTTCGATAATAAATTTATTATTTTATTCAATTAATGTAATATGAATGTAATCCTTTTCTGGTAAATTTTAATATAAATATTTATTTTGTCAATCTCTGATTTAACCACTGTTTCTAAACAATTTCTTAATGGAACTACTGTATAAATAATAATATTTCGTGAAATAATATTTTCAGCAGATATTTTAAGAAAAGTTTATTTTAATAATTTGAGTAAATAAAGATTTACAACTATCTTAAAATAATTTATTTGTTTTTTATTTTTTCCAAATTTTCCATGATTGAAGAAACCATTTAATGATTATTTTTATAAAATTATTTAAAATTTTATAAAATTTAAAATGACATATAATATGTATGAAAATATAAAATTTATTACCACAGTTTGTTTGTAGATTTTTTAATATTTTTTGAATTAAATTAACTACGAAAAATATTTTCAATATTTTCAATATTTAAAACGAATTAACAATTATCGAGCAATAATATTCATTAAACCGCATATTTGTTAAAATTTAAAAACACAATATTTTCGAAAATATGATACTTCATCTATTTATTTCAATTCAATTTATAAATCTATTACATAAGAGAATTAAATAGAACAGTTATGAAAAATTTAAAAACGAAAACAAATAAAATTATCTAAAATATAATAAAATTCAAAAACGCTATGAAATATCGAAAATTTAATTTCGTACAATATCATCATGTTTGTAATAAATTTCTCTTCTATCTTTCATAATTACAATCCTTAATTTTCAATTCAATTCACTCAACAAATTAATTTTTAAAATTTAAATAATCAAATTATCAAATTCTAGTTTCACTTCGAAATCCATCGCTCGAATGAATAGACTGGTATCTTCAAAAGCTACGCATCTTCGTTCCCATTCAATTCTTTGCTATTGTAAAGGTAATAATATTGATATAATTTGAGATAGCAATTCCAAGTACGATTGTATGCCTTTAACGCGACGGCACGTTCTACTTGTATTTCTCAACGCGAAATTGAATCACTGACTGCAATCAAGTGGAATTCCACTACAAAAAAAGAAAAAAAGAAAGAAAGAAAGAAAGAAAGAAAAATTGACTTGCATACCATTACGGACAGACTACGCGATTTACTGAGTGCGATTCACAGTTCCGTTATCGCACTGTTGGTGACATTGCAATGAATTACTGGTTTTTATTCTAATCGTTTTAGAAAAAAAAATGCAATATCTGTGAACATGGAAATAATTATATTAAAAATTTTTCATTTATAAATTCGTATAAATAATAATTGGTTATATTTTGATAATTAAAAATTTTTTATTGAAAAAAATATTCGGACATTGATCAAATTTTATCTTAGAATAAATGTTAAAATTTTAATAAATAAATATCAGGAAATAAAAATTGTTTAACTTGAAGTAGAAATTGTTTATATTTGAATACTTAGAAATTTAAGTTAAAAGAATTAAAACAGCAATTTTTTTTTATAAATTTTTAATATTTATTTTTTATTTGATAATGTATTTTATGTTTTAACTACATTAGAAATGAAACTAAATTCTTTAAAGATTAAATTATCTTCTGATTGAAATTTGCTAAATAATTAATCAGATAACAGTTCATTAGGTCAAATGTCGAAAGTTAACATGATATTAGATTCGTGTTAAATTCAAACATTCAAACAGAGAAGAAACACATATATGCATAAGTCCAATATTTGAACAACCAATATTTATCATTGTTGACAAGTTATATAATACTAATAAAATTGAGTTGAGAATAATTGAGAATAATATTTTTATTATTAACATAACCAAATATATTAATATTATAAATATATTAATATTATTATAATGATCTTTGTATTTTGGAAAGAAAAACATTAATTTTTTTATTTAATAAGTACTATGCTAAAAAATTATAAATCTTTTTTTCTATTTCTATCACTTTATATTTCTTATATACAGTAAATATATTCGTGAAACAAATTTGATTTTAAAAAATAAAATAAATATAAAAGTTAATATACGAAAATATTTGTTTATTGAATTATTAAAACATTTTATAAGCATGAAGTTTACGTTAAATAGAGATAGAATCAGAATGCTCTATTTACGTTACATTGGTGTTTCGCTTCATCTCCGTTTCACTTCATTTAATACAAATTTAAACTTAATACTTATCACTTAATAAATAAATAAGGTTCAACCAACATTTATGTTTATTTTAGCTTTTAGAATCGATTCAAAGATGTTCTACAAATATATCAATACTTTGTTCATACAGTATTTGAATATGAATATAAGTTACGAAGAGGAATAGTATATAAAGACGATGATTTTCGATTTTATAAAGAATTATTCATAGCAATATCGATGATAAATGAGTATGATATGATATTTTAGGAGTATTTTCTGAAGCGAGTAAAAAATTAATCCTCATATATTAAAGGAAAGACACGATCCATAACGTGAACGATAAAGCGGTATGAGCTTAACTTTCTTACGTGAATAACATCAATCGAAGATGGAGGTAATAAAAAGATACGAGTATATGCTTTTAACATTATTCTTTGCCACTTTGCAGCTCATGTCGCTCGCCTCGCACGTAAGGATCATAAAACAAAGCACCGCAAATGAGAAAACTTGGAAAATTTTCGATGTTCGGTAAATTTTACTTTGCAAATAATACGAGCACTTCACGCCACTCTCGTGAGATTTAAAAAAGTTTCTTTTATATCGAAATCCATTTATCTGTAATATGTTATTTCTCGTCCAAAAATATTAAGATATCACTCGTTGATCGAAGTAAACAAGATTTTTTCTTAGTACATTCTGTGCTAAAAATTCCTATATAGCATATATATAATAATTAATTTAAAGAAAAAAAAAAAATAAAAATCTCAACACTTCTACAACATATCCTCTTTCCTAGCGCAATAATTAAATAAAATATTCTCGATACTTATAAGCACAATCACGAGAATAGAATACTCTCTTTAATGGGAAACAATCAAACCAATAACTCGTCATATATTTTTCATCGTGTTCAGCCGAATTCACCGATGTCCAATTATCATGTATAATTAATGACCGCTCGTCAAGTGACATTTTATCTCGTGTCTCGTAATTTCTCCATTCTCCTTCTTCCCCGCTTCTCTTTTTCCATCGTCTGCCCCTTGGCCGGTATAACAATACACCTATGCAAATCGCGTCCGCTTAATTGCGACTGTTTTGCATGTGTGGAACATCCGGGTGACAATCGTCCTATCGCGATCGCGCTTCCTATCGTTTGCCTCGTATCTGCATTCCGCGCAATTTTTCATCTCTCCTCGCGTGACTTTCAACCCGGAGAGCACGAGGAAAGGGTTACGACTGAGAGAGGGAGGGAGAGAGAGAGGGAGGGAGAGAGAGAGGGAGAGAGAGAGANGAGAGAGAGAGAGAGAGAGAGAGAGAGAGAGAGAGAGAGAGAGAGAGAGAGAGATAAGTTGGCTGAGTGTTTATATAATTGTACGGTTGAAGTGGTAATTAGAACGGCCGGGGGTAGATTATATGGCGAGCGATATTCACGTCATCGGTTTCAATTAATTACAGATAAGAGATTACAATACTGGTAATAAAGACATCCGTCAACGTTATGAATGTAAATCGAAATCGTTTGTCTGGAAAACTTGTTTCTAAAGAGATTTCGTTTCACTTCTTTCTTGTAATTTAATTCTTTCTTGTAATTTTGTTACGTTATATAATGATAGAAAATACAATTTTATAATGATTATAATGTATAATTTTATAATTTTTGCTTTTAAAAATGATATAATAATAATTTTATATCAATCATCAAAGTTACGTACACGTTAAGTTTTATTAACGATTCGTATTGTCAAAAATAATGAAAATTCCAATTCTAATGAAATTGTACATAGAGTGCATAGAGTATAATATAATAGAGTAATTTTTTAACAGAATATCAGTAAAGTATTAATTATTGAATTATGAAATCTTGGTACTTTTTGCGTTTTTTTTTTTTAATATAAATTTGTAATGATGCAAAATGAAATAAAATTTTAAAATGTTCACAGGTTTCAATGCTTGATCATCCTATTGTACGAAATATTCTACATTTAGAATAGTATTCTTAATATGAGAATATATTGAATAGATATAAAAATATATTTCGCATATAACATATCCATTTTATTCGTTAACTTGGCTTTAATTATTAGTGAAATTATATTTTTAAAAAGTTTAAATAAATCTATTGTACGAATAAATATCAATATTACAAGTGAATTCTTTATATATTTGCAAATTATAATAAATATTATGCATAATTAGTATGCAATATATATGCAATATATATTTGTAAATCATGATTATAATTAAATATTTAAATCTAAAAAATATCAAATTCGAAAATAAACCGCAATACAAATATTAAGACGTAATTAATAATTACGTAATTAATATAAATAAGTAATTTAATTATTTATTTATATTATTATATAGATATTTTATATTCAAGATTAAAAAAAATAAATTTTTAAAGTAGATAAATAGATATTTTTATTTCTTCAAATGATTTTCCGAATAAATTCTTCTTCGAAATAGTAATTAATATAAAGAAATAATATTTCAAATATATATTGTTTCGATTCAAAATAAGTTTTTCATATAAAGTACAA